GTTCTGGGGCTGTGCTGGTCAAATCACCTGCTCTGCTTGCTTTCCTCCTCTGGGAAACTCCACACTCCTGTAAGGCCAGGGGTTCAACTTCTCCTGGCTGCTGGGAAGAGGGTCGAACCTCCACTGCTTCCTCAATTCCACCACAGGCTGGGTTGCACGTTACCTACAAGTAAAATGAACTGCGCCACTGCGAGGTTACTCAGACTGCTCAGCTAGACCACAGCTCAGACACCCTGCAGGCACTAAGCATTCATGTATATTAGGAGGAATAAGGACACAACAGCACTCAGGTGTGAGCTCAGACAGTATGCGAGCTTCTCTTTTTCACAAGCAAGACGAGCACAGAAAAAAAGGTGGCACCATGATGCACCTCACACATCTACAACCACCTGGAATCCCTAATTCTGCTAAAGGGTCACGCTTATACACCCCAGGGTGCTGAGATGAAACTTATTATGCAGATATAAACTGCAATACTGTGGAGTCTTTGTATAGCGATATACTGTAGCATGCAATCTACATATAATACATTCCATACACAATGACTTATACTTTGTATTGGTATTTAACGTTCTTTTTAATTCTGAGGTCAAACATTTTTTGCAATAATCTGTTGAAATCAGGGGCACATTAACTGTTGTCCAGCTACTTCCGAAAATGCAACTTAGCAAAGTTGCACCAACTCAGCTCAACTCTGTTGAGCAACGACTCATTGAAAAGAAAAATGGTCAACTTATTTTGTGGCCAGTATGAAACACAAGAACGTGAGAGCAGTGGTCCTAGTGTACAAACAATAAAGATCACAAAAAAGAGCCTGTTTGGTAGTTAGCAGTGAGTTTATTAACGGATTTTATCCAGCAGTGCTTTGTAGGAAGCCAGTGTACCGGCTTCAACAATATAACTGCATAGCTCGTTCCATTCTCCCACAGCCCTTTGGGTAAAGACGTACCCCCTGGTTTCTGTTTTAAATGCACTTCACAGTTCTCACTTGTGCCCTCTGGTTCATGTTTCACTGTTTTCTTCTGAAAAGCTTTGTTGATTGTGTCCACTGTTTTTAATAACAATAGTATTATTAGTAAAAACAAAACTAATGGCATAAATAAGTTACTATTGCCGTTGTTGCTAAACAGATAATCTGTCGGTCGGGGTCAGGGAGAATTTCAGATGTGTTTCGAAGCGGCCATTAGCAGTTGGTTGTTCAAATTCATGGTCTTTTCAGCAATTAGTTTATATTGTACCTTCGTAGTTTACTTTCGCGGTGATGTTATTCCATACGATTTGCACTGACAATGTAATTAAACCTGTTATGCGGACTTTGGCAATCCGTGCAGTGTATTTGCACACGTAGTGTTGTGTGTGGTTGGTATGAAATAAACGTACTGTAAATGTACCCGTGGTATATCACTTCTGTATTATAGATAACGTTGCCTGAAAGATGTATAATTCTCTAGTATGTTCTTATCTAAACAACCGTTTAGATATTTATTTAGATTATTTAGGGTTTAAAAAAAAAACACAATTGATTTCGACTGAAGTCGTCCAAGTCGTTTGCGAAAGATTTTGCAACCTCTGTTAGCTCACCGCGGAAGGGAGCGTCAATAAATTTCAACATCGTGATGTCACGTAATCACGGATGCAGTTCAGTCTTAATGCAGTTGTTTATGGCAACAATGGTAAATAAGGTTAAGTGCTGAAAACCTAACCAGAAAGATAAACGGTGTACGTAAAGTATTATATTTACTTTATATTAAAACGGATATAAGGTAAAAACGAGAGCTCATATTTTGCATCTCCTCAGCTTCTAGTCTGTCGTGCATTTTAAAGCCTTCTTTAAACACTTTTGATGTGTCTAATATTTTCATATTTTGCTCTCATGAGAATCAAAACAAAATTACAATCAAGAAAGATGAATTATGTGGCAGGGATAATCTTGCAATTCTAAAGGCATCGATCCTGAACAAAACCAAAGAAAATAGTAACAGGACAAGATTGGAAAGAACTGGCCATATTGTTTTAATGGTGGCGATTAAAAATGCAATATAATGGCGACATAACAAGTACACTGCAATTAAATATGTATCAGGACAGAAGTGCATTGTATGTAAACATCTGGCACGTTGTCCTCACTTATAGTCCGCTTTGAAGACATCTCGACTGTGTATGCTCCACACGTACAGCGGTGAGGTCTATTAGTTTTTCGATTGCCCCACAAAATAGTGCGCTCCATGCGCATGCCCAGAAGGGATGCCAGTGCAGTTGTAGCTGTACAGTGGGAGAGAGGTAAGTAACTCGCGTCTGGTACGGTGTAGTTTAATATGTAAGAAATATAACTCGAGTACCACAAAAGTTAAAATTGTCACAGAGGAAAACGACTCTCTTTTACCTATGCCACAGCACGTGTGAAAATCAATGTCAGTGCTTAAGGAGCCATGAACAAAACTAGTAACAAAAATATTAATACGGGAAAAAGCCAGGAAATGAAGTGGCCTGCTTGTTTTTTTTTTCCTGGTGCAGAGCCAAAGAAAGCATTGCCCCCGTAAAATCATAAAAATAACAGTCATATCTATGTTCCGATCTTGAAAGATTTTCCAATGCAGCTGTGATGAAAGAAGTGTGTTTTTTTATTACGTCCATACTCACTATTTAAGGATCAGTAAGGCAGAGTGAAGTGCTACTTCTGACTGCAGGGCAGAGAGGAATTCCGGACAAAGGACACCAGAAGTACCAGCTTCGTTTCCACAGAGGATTTTGATTTAATTTGTTGGTCGCTGCATTTTCTTTATGCGTATTTAGCTTAGTTTCAAGAATTTGATGCGTTGAATTTTTTTTCCAAGGACCGGTATTGTAATTTCCTTCCGAGGGCCATTAGAACTTTGCCTTTTTCTTTGGAATCCTGTATTTCTGGATATAGCTCGGCTGTTGAGATTCTTAGCTTGAGTGGGTTATGACGTGTGTCATCCATACCTCTCAGTACTTCATTCTGCAAGGCGCTAACCTCTTATATAACAAAGGTATTGAGGAGCTGAGCTCCGTGGTAGGATACGGCGGGCGTTCAACGGAGCCATAGGGGAGGGCTAAGAAACGACAAAAAGGCGACATTTCTGGGTGAAAATACCTACCATTCCAATCAGAAATCATAGTGTTGGGTATTGGACGGTTCAGTCGGATGTTTGTTGCCTATGGGATCTACGGTGACTTATGGGACAGCCCAAACTTCATCGCCGTTGCTCAATTAAATGTGTCTATTGTGATTTAGCACTGGCAGTACTAGTTAGTGTTCATCAGTATTCTGTTTTGCTGGGAACGCTGAATTGCAGCATTAATTAATAGTCATTATGAGCAGTTCAACCTGTTTGCTTCGCTCTTTTACTGTTCATGTTCTAATGCTTCATTATTAAAACTGTAGAATCAGTCATACGCGGTAGGAGTGGATTGTTAGGTATTATCCTGTGTATCATCGATATGAAATTTGTTTTTTGTTGTTGTTATTGTTACCTCACTTGGGCTTCAAGTGGGGATTTGGGCAGCAGACATATGAAGAAAAACAAAAAAAATAATTTGAGAAATTTAAATGAGTCTTTTATACAGTACATGATATGAGATCAGCCTAACTGCAACAGCGAACTCTGGTGACGACGATATTGCATCTTGTAGACTAGTCTTTTAGTTTCTGGGATCTAACAAAATCTGCGTCTGGTCTGTACTGGGATAGGAGACCAGCTGCTGTAAGTGATGCTGGTGGACCCGGAGGTCCTGTGCACTACAGGTTGCAAAGCCAGTACCCCAGTGTGGTGCCTAGGACACCACTCCAACCTTTTGGATGAGATGATAAACCCAATTTCTGAGTACACGATCATTAAAGATACAGTATGCACTGTTTGTAAAACTGCAGACATTAATACTGGTGTCATGGCTAAATTTCAACATTATGGCCTTCCTAAAGTTCTTTCTTAATTCATTTTGCTGTTCCTAAGTAAAGCAAGTTGCCCCCTGGGGGTAGTAATAAAGCCTCTCTCTCATTGATCTTCAGGGCAGTGGGTTGCTAAAGCGTTGTGGTTGCCTGGCCACTGGTACCCAGCTGGGTGCTGCAGTTCAGTAGGGAGTAAAGTGGGTCACCAACTATAATTAAAGTGCTTTGGGATCCTTCTGCATGGAAAGTACGGTGCTATATTAACACAATTACATGTTATTCTACCCAGTGTCCTAAATCATAGTCATCCACACACATAAGTAAAAAGAGAATGAGCTGCAGCTGGTATAATTTTTTGTTTCACATGTCTTTTTCAGAATTCCTTGTCATTTTAATTCGTTTTAACTGTAGTTTTGTGGAAAGATATTTCTCCTGCCCAAATACAGAAACAGGGATAAAGAAAGTGATTAGAACAGGCATAAATCTCTCTCATTAATGTGTGTATCTGCTGTGTACCCTCTCCCCGTAGACTGGCTGCTGTGCTGAATAAGCAGGACGTCCTGTAATCCTGTCAGCCTTGTTCTAAGTTTGGTATTAAAACAAAAAGGAAAAAATTATCTCAGTTCTTTTTTTGGTCTTGCGTGATGGAGGTCATTGATAGCAAAGTTTATCTCGTAGAACTGTTATCTTATACCTTTTAAAGGCAAACCTTATTTCAGGTGTTACCAAAGGTTTCATTTGCCAGTCACTCCTTTTGTTCTTGGAAACTCGTTTATCTCATCCTGTGAAGTCTATGATTGCAACTTCAAATAAAAAAAAAAAGAATTTCAATGGCCATTTTACTTCTTTTTAGCTCTTGGCCTTCCATTTAAGATAGTAACGTTTCTATTCTTTCCAAAACTACCTCCCTGTTTCTGGTCCTTTCTAATTTATTTCAATCCCTGTCACTGGGTTACAAGTAGCAGGCTGAAGCGAGTTCCAACAAGTTGGAAATTGGTTTTCAATTTTTGTCATTATCAGAAGACATCATATAAGTATAAAGAACTCCTAAAGGCTGTATGACATTAGTGCTTGGGTCCCAGAATGTGAAAAGATAGCTGGAAGGGCCCTTGAAGCATATAAGGATGAAAGATGGTGGCAGTGTCCTGATGCCTTTAAGAGTTGAAAGGGAAGCCGGTGTGAGCTGTGAGTGGCATCCAGATATTAAAGATGTCGGAGCCCTGGGGGCATGTGTTTCTGTCCAGGCATTGATCTGCGACCGGCTGGGTGTTACTGTGTTTCACTCTCACCACTGTCACCCTGGGCGCTGCATGGAGCAGATAGGTGCCTCATCATCCAAGGTGAGGAGAGATGCATGCGCACATTCATCATGTCACCGCGGTTGCTGGGTCTTATTTTCCGTGGTTAACATTGTGGGTATTTATTTTTAGTTCAAGGACGGAGAGATTTTTTTACTTAACATTGTCTGTAACCTTAGAAGAGAATCCCGTTTATATTTTGCAGTGTGTTTGTCCCTACTGCTTGTTTTCATTACTGTGTTTTATATGAAACGTACTGTATATACTTTGCTTCTTTATGAGATTCCTCAGATTCTCAGCTGTATCTGCTTAGAGTGCTGTTTTAATAAAGACTCCAGCAGGAGAACTAGGAACAATACCTTTGATTTAACTCTTAAGGGTTTTACTCTTTTACTTTTTGAATGTTTTCTATGAATATCTGGCTTGCCTGTTTCCAGTAAATTGATTATGTGAACAGCTGAAAAACAGAGAAACACAGTAATATTTGCGCAGTTATGAATTTCAGTGCAGCACTGACCGTGCCTGACTAAAAGTTCACAAAATTATACCAGTTTGTACAGCACAAACAGTAGACTCCTTCTCAGTTGTCCACGTCGTTATTGAGTCAAACTGGAAAAAATAAATAATATATAGGGAAATTGATGTACATCTTTGGCTATTGATAGTGATTTTGTATTAAAAATATTAATAGATTAATCCAGTCCATCACCCTTCAAAAAGAAGAGGCAGTTGCTGAAAATATATATTTCACAGAATATAAGGGGTTGTTATTCCGGTTTTTCGTCAATGTGAACACCTAAGCTTTATTTCTTTATACAGGGTTTGTCCAAATGCTGTCGACAACTTTGACAGTTTATTCCAAATTAATTACATGGGTTACTGTGACAAAAAAGTTTCAAACAAAAGCATGAATATCAACGTTTCGAACACGTTCCACAGTCGCGTCGTCTGTGCAAGGACGACCTGTGTGTGCTTTTGCCCTTGCAGATGCATCCACGCTTCACAAAGTGCCTGTATCACTTAAGGATGGAGTCTCAAGCTTTAGTGTCGTGATAACGAAGAACACACAATGATTTCTCCACAGGTGACGCCATTGTAGGTACTGTGCGACTGCAGCCTCATCTGTGGAGGAGAAAACAAAACTTGAGTAAAATAATTGGCATTTCTACTTGTCAACAACATTCTGACTAACCCCATATTAAGGTCGATCATAGTTGTTTGCAAGATTATACAGGGGCTACGGTGACGCAAATCTAATCAGAGCAGTGAAGTGTTCCAGAGGCTAGAATAAGGAAATGAAACAGAATGCAGATGATTTCAACTGCTTTAAGGTGACAGTGAAAATTGCACTGTTGATGTGTCATATCTTCAAATGGATAAATGGAAATGCACAAAACAAATGCAACGCTCAGTGTCTATTGGATCAGATGATATATTTTCAGACATCTGTCCAGCAAATCATTAAAACATAATAGGAATACAGATGAGAGACTCACAGGTTTCAGTAAGAAATGTGATGCACTGTCAAACCTGTCCCTGAGCATTAGCAGGGTCTCGTCAGCATTGACGCACATAACTAAAGTGCTCTTGAATAGACTGCAGACTGTGCAGCTGCAGTCAGCTGGGAAAGGTTGGACAGCCACAGTTGTCTCCCATTGTTGGCAGCAGTGAGTGGGTCTCACAGATGTCATGTTGGACCCAGGTCAAGAGGAAAAAAAACGACGCTGGCATGAGCTCAACAAATAGTCGTTCCATTGTAATCCAAGCACATTGTCGTCTCATGTTTCTCTGCTAGAAAGGTGAAATTGCTAATAGGAACAGAAAAAAAGATTGACGTGTTTCTGAATATTGCTGAACAGTTACATTGCCTTCAGTCTGCATCAAAGGGCCTTTGTGTTGAAGGAGATGTTTCCCCATATTTGGGATGTTTAAGCAGAGATGGGCAGCAGAATGCTAGCCCAAAGCATGGATTGTCTTGATAAGATAAAGTAGAAGTGTTTCCTCATTAAAAGTACAGCCAGTCCTCTTGGGGAGAGACAGAGGCAATATTTTGGTTCAGTTCCTCAGATGATAAAATGGTAGCAATAAAAGAAGAAATAAATGGAAAGATCAAATGCAGGCATATGTCTAAATAAATGAAAAGCACTATTATGACATTTTGTGAAACAAGTCATTTAAGGTGTTTTTTTAGCTATAAGACATGAAAGCAATCCAGATTTATTTAAAAGCACTTTAAAGGAAAACAGCCCTGAATGTGAGAAGAGGAGTTTTCTAAAGCAATAAAAAAATTAGATATGTGCTGTTATTTAATAAAAAAATATTTTTAAAAGTTTTCAAGGAAAAAGAAAAGTAAATAAGGTTTGAAAACAGCCTAAGACATGCATGTTGAGCCTGTGCTTTCTTTGAGATGCTGGGAAATCATGTTATACATTTTCAAGAAAGCAGATGGAAGTTTGCTGATGGTATTTCCCCTTCTCCTTTCACTGTTTGTAGTCCAAGAAGGCATTTTTCCCATTGTTTGCACACGTACAAAGAACACACTTCTTCTCTTCAAGAGCACTGCCTGCCAAGCATTCAGAAAGTGAGCCTTCTTGCTGTCCATTTGCTGTCTCCCTGGGCCGCAAGCTTAACTCTGAGTCTATCTGAAGAAATAATACAAAAGTTGACTTGGTCTTTTTTTCCTGATTTCACACCAGCATCTCTGCAAACATGGTTCCACGCAGGTCTGAAAAACCCCATCTAAAAAAAAAATAAATGACCCATAACCTTGGTCACTCTCAAATCACAAAGCCACCTACAGGGACTGGGAAGTGTAACAGCTGTTTAACAGCTGGTCTAAACATCCTAGTAACCTTAATGGAGTGATGTGCCTGGGCAGTGCTTTACAGAGTGTAGTTTAAAAGTACACTGGTTCTGAACCACTAGGTTTAATGTGGCAAAGCTGTAGTCATGAAAGATGGGATTTAAGTGTTCTTCACTCGCCCCAGGGCATAGTGCAACTCATTGCACAGACACTAAAAATGTTATCTGTGTCACTAAAAATGATATGTAGCCTTAATGACAAAATTGACAAGGTTTCTGCCAGCTCTTTTCATGATTTTCCACTGCTCTTTGCTTAATAAAGGATAATGAATGAAGTCCTCTGGGCATTTTGCAGGGCTATTCATTTCTGTGTAATAAGATTTGCTGGAAGTCAGGCATTTTCAGTCTTGTTGAAAGAATCCTGAGAAAGAAGTTAAACCTGCCTGTCTTGTCATGTGAATATTAAGAACAGGTTTGAAGCGTTACACTACTGTACGTCTATGTTTTTGCCCCAGAACATTAAATTGCTCTACTCCTGGTGGCTCTTTACACATAATCTGAAGTCATACAGAAGCCACCCTCGCTGACTGATAATAAGTGACCAATTACTTGTGTTTATTACTGAAATGTTTGGAATCTCGAATCTGGGACCACTATCCTCTTTCCAGTTTAGAAAAAGACAGCAGTCTGGTGCTCCATTAGAGCAACTTCTCAAGGCATTTTATATTGAGTTGCATCTTCTAATCTTTGAATTGAGGACCTATCATTTTTAAACAACAGGAACATTACTTCTTTCAAAAACTTGTCATAGATATAAGGTTCCAGCTGAGGTGAAAAACTGCTCATAAATACAAGGTGTTTTTAGTAAAAAGCACAGACAATATTAGATACATTTTGCTGGTAATATACACATATATATCACGCTAAATAGCAATATTCCACTTGGCATTGCTTAGAAGAGTAATAAGAACAAATTGTACATCACAAGTCAAGGTAGACTGTGCTGCCACATTTACTGTATTATTAACGCCTACCCATCCAAAAGCCCAGAGAGACGTTTTGTGCAAGGCTCCTTAATTCAAGATCTAAAAATAATTTTTAAGGGAGGATAGAACTGCTCTTAAAATGTGACACATTTTACAGATCTGTTATTTTACTTGGCCTTTACTTTTTCTTTGTCCAACCACTAAGGGTGATTTAATGGAGTGATGTGTTTCAGATGTAGTGGAATATTTTCGGAAGAGATCTGACACACAGAGGCTAGATTCCTTTTGAGAAATCACTCAAATATTGAATATTGGAACCAAACATTTGCCGAGTGTTTTTTAAATTATTTTTTACTTTTATAAAAAGCTTCAAAACCCTGCAATCAGTAATTTCATGATTCCTTTTTTGTTTTGTGATGGTTTTAGTCACTTTTGACCTTTTAGGAAAAAGACGTTGCTAAGGTTCTCTGTCATTGCCTTGGTGTTTGCTGTGTTTGGTATATTTTAGAAAACATGGATATTAATTTTGCTAAACAGATTTTTTCGAGAATAATCAGATTTTATATACAGTAGGCCTGTTTACAAAATATCAAGTATCTGGTTTAAATACATTCTGACAATTCTTCCTCAAAATGCAACATACTATACTGTGTGAATTTTCACATTTAAAATAAAATAAGGTAATTTAAGCAAGCAAAGATGTCTTTTTCTAAAATGCTGAATGAGTTTAAGATGCCTTTTTTAAAAAAAAGAAGCTTGTCTATGTGATTTGCCAGGTTATCTAGAATAAGTAGGTTAGGAACCAATGGCTTTGCTGGCTTTACAGCTTTTCTTGAATCTGGTTCATGCCTTTATTGAAGACTGTTAAAGTGTTTGTTTTTTTATTTTTAAACATGGAGTTCTTAATCATCATAATCATCACATGGAACATATAAACGTGTCCCTAGATAGATAGTCAAGCTGTAAAAGTGAGCATACAATTTGAAAGCTACTTTGAAACTCTGTAGGCAACTTTCTGTTGTTCCAGGATTTATTTATATCCATTATGTATATGTGTCAAAGAAGACACAGCTTACCTTTCACCAGCAAATCCTCTTGAAACATGAGCAAGTGAACTGATTGTTGTGGCAATTGGCAACTAATGCAAGCAGTTTGTATTAGGCATGGCGTCAGGAATCTGCTTTTACTTTTGGCTCTCTAGGATTAGCCCAGGGTTGGGTTGGATGTAATTTATAGTGCCGCCTGTCCTAATGC